GACGGTTGTGGTGGTGAAGAGAAGTAGAAAAAAAAAGATAAGATGTTAGAAGATGTTAGAAGACATTGGTTAATGTCTTCTCCAAGAAGATGTCAGGAAGACCTTTTTGAGTGAAATGTCTTCCAAAAAACAAACAATCTGCAGAGCCTATCATCTGCGCGCGTCTGCGCGGCGCAGACAAAAGACGCCAGAAGGTCTTCTGGCAGAAAAACAAACACCCCCTATAAGTTTATGTTGAAAACTGTGGCACAAAAATAAAGAAGCAACACCAGGCAATTTATCTACTCTGCAGCATCATATTTGTAAGCTAGTCACAGTTTCATATATGCTAGATTCAAGTACCTTCCATTACTAAAACAGAATGAGTCTTCTGAGCGTCTAAGAATCTGCATTTAAAAAGTATGGACTTAAATATATCACTTCAAAAAGTTCTCAGCATGTCTTCTAATTTCTAAATACAATTAAAAAAGTGAAATTAATGCACATAAAATTGGTGAATATTAGACTATATGATCTGACTCCAATACCAATGCACTAAAACAATGGAGACAATCAAAACGCTCACAAGAAACACATTCAAAACATCTAGAGATCGCATGCTAAAAAACTTTAATTCAGTAAATGCTACTCTGAGACCAAAAATAAAGTTGGTCTATTTAAAAAAGAAAGAAGACAAATATTAGAACAAAAAAATTGTTAATCATAACTATTGATTAGAACTTTCTTTTTTCATTGTTGTCTGTGTACTCTTTGTAGTCTTGTGTGTTATTCGTTCTTGTATCACATTTTTCTTAACTCGCTTTTCATTTCGTGAAGCATAACTATTGATTAGTTGCAATTGTTGATTCACTCACCATACACTTTACCAACCATCCTTGTGGATATGACAACCCCATATTTACCGTTTTAAATCGTACCTCTATTTTTCCGAACACTTTACATGAACATTATTATTATTATTATATATATATATATATACACACACATACACACGCACAACACACACACATACATACATATATATATGTGTGTGTGTGTGTGTGTGGATTTTGGTTCTGGTGAGAATGAGATCTTATGAAAGAAATAAGAATGCATGTGGTGCTTTAGAATGTGAGATCTAAGGGTCATAAAAGTTTGAAAAATAAGAAAAAATGCACTACTTGCTTTGTAATTATATCAAACTTCATAAAATGCACTACTTGCTTTGTAAAATGCACCATGGTGAACTACATGTTCTATAAAATGCACCATTCTTATTTCTTTCACCAAGGTTCATTCTTACGGGAACCAGCCCCTACACACACACACACACAAACATACATACATATATATATGTATGTATATATATATGGGTTAGTTCAGGTGAGAATATCCTTAGTCCTTACCGTGAGAATATGAGAATGGTGCATTTTCAGACTGTCATGATGCATTTTACATTTGTAGTAGTGCATTCTCAAAAAGTTCAATTTATTTACAAAATTGCCACCACCACTTTTCAAATTTTTAAGATTTTTTTATTTTTAATAGCCCTTTGATCTTAAATTTAATGGATTGTATGCATTCTCATTTCTTTCATTGTGCATCGTTCTCATTTGAACCAAAATTTATCTGTGTGTGTGTATAGGGTTTTACAAGCAACGACCCATACACATCACACACTTTGTATGGGCAAAACCCCTCTCACCACCCACCATCATCCATCATCATCAATTCATATTTTATATGCATCATATAATTCAAAGTAAACTATATATCAATTTTAATCACATCAAGAAAAACAACTTTGGCTACAAATTGTTATCCACTTGGATGTAGCTCACAAACGAAGTCCAATTATAGCTGTAATTGAATGATAATGTTGATAGAAGAACTACAAACCTGATTTTGGAAGTACACCAAGAAAGCTCGTATAGTCTCCCTGTAAGGTTTTGAGACACCTTTCCAAAGTTCATGATTCCCTTCCACAATATCATACCTTTGACCATATAGACATTATTGGCAACGTCAACTAATTTTGTCATTGTAGTGTAAACACAAAACTTTTAAAAAAAGACAGCTATACACATGATTTAAAACAATCTGAGACTAACCCAAACCAAACATACCCAAGTATCTCCCCCTAAGAAGTAGGGCCTCAGAAGGGTGGGATATGCGCAAAGCTAAAGAACTTACCTCTACCCCTAGGAAGCACCCGCTAAGAAGAATTTGGTATGCACTGGCACATATTCTATTTTATTCTCTCTTTTTACGAGCATGAAGTCTGTTCCTCGCGTGACTTGTATTCCTTTTCTTCAATCAATAAAATTACCTTCCCATAAAAAAATTGAAACTGCCTTTTTTCAAATGTAAAACCATTTTGTAAAACTCTCCTCTAGCAATAAGAGAAAATGCATCCAACAGCTGATGGTAGTGTGAAACTGTGAATTGTGAAAAGTAAGATAGAAAATTGTTCGGGAAAATAAATGCATTAAGCAACCGCAAAACATTATCAGAGAGACGGTACACTAAACACTAAGTAAGCAGGGTACTATATTGCCCAGACAATGCACCCATAAGTATGGTGCCAGGAGATCCCAACCCCCTCAACTATGGGGGATTGGGGGCGCCTCAAGGAACTCCTATTATTCGTTATGTCCACAATGAGGTCTAAGGTCGCCATGTTCGGACTCAACAACCCATCCCACGTCTTCCATAGCTTGCCTCTCCCTCTCAATCCCTTGACCGAAGGAAAAAGCGGCCAGGAAAAAGAATAGCAGACAAGGAAAAAAATGAACTACTCAAGAATATGGTGTCATTACCACTCTAGCTTTGCTTTTTGTGCATCAAGAGGTAGTCGATGGCCAAGCAATGTTCGGACAGCAAGAGCCTCAGAGGTGCTTTGATCCGACAATCTCAAGCATCTTGACCTTATGTCCCCAACTGCAGGACCACCTGCAGGATACCCATAAAATACACTTGCTATCTGTCACACAATGATAAACAGAGTGAACCCTCGATAAAAGTTTCTGATGCGTAAAACTGATATCTAGAAACACACACACAAGCATTATTTCTTTTTGGGGCTACGTAAAAGCTACACGCACTATGGATACGCCCCTTCTTACTAATTTCCCAAGTACTCTTACGGATCATTTCTTTGGCAGCATTACTCTTAGCCAGCTGGGGTGGTCCATTAAGTTGGGAGTTTTCAGAAAAGCAAGGACCCATCATAATGTGATATTCCATGGAACTACAGTGATTAGTGTTTTGAAAGTAGTACAAAGTTTACTTATTGAAGACATACCAAGAACTCGGACAATTTCAGATGTACTTCCACCATCATCAGAAACTGGGAGAACATGAGCTACACGAGTAGTAAAGTTCTTAAGCTCTTCAGCTACACAATTAAAAGCTGTTCCACCTGCATGCTAAGAACATTTAGGATCACATTCATAACTCAGCCTGAATTATAATGAATTAAACAGTTTCAAATTTCAACAGTTCCACCACAAATTAAACCTAAAAACTTAAATTAGAAATTAAAAGACAGTGCGTTTGCGTAGAAGAACAAGCAGCACAGGAAAGTTCACAGGCCAAGTTAATATTTCATCACTCGAAATCCAAAATTCAATAACAGCAATTCACCATTTTCGATCTCCATTTTTCGAACTAAACCTTCCTCCTTTCCCTTGAATCTTTAACATTAGCATAAAATTTCACAAATTAAGGTCATTATTACACGTCCAATGCACCAAAATTCAAGACTTTCCTCACTCATCCCAGCCGGAATACAAAACTGAACCAACCCTAAAAACAAACAAACGAGCATAGCATACCGGAGAAGACGACCAATGAGGGTGGATGAGTAGATGGGACGGAGGAATGGCAGCTTTGAACAGGGGAGCAGCGACATGAGGAAGCCATGGGAGTGAAAGAGACAGATCTGAAGCGAGAAAAGGGAGAAGAAGAAGAAGAAGAAGAAGAAGAAGTGAAGGAATATAAAGAAGGAAAAGAGAAATGGGGTGCCAAAGCCTCCTGCGTCACAGTCGGCAACATGACCAAACCAAGCTCTGTTCCAAGATGAATGACATAAAATTTGCGCAGAATAATTTTAAAAAATCTGGGTGAAATATTCTCTATTTTTTATCTGATTGGAACAATAACTTTTCGTCTCCGTTCTATAGTCACACACTTTGAGTGGCTACAAAAAACAGTGTTCCTTTATGATGTTTCGTTCGTAAAATTGATAATTTTTACTTCTAACCCTCGATTAATCTCTCACTCAATCACAATCTGAACTCATCCCTACACCCCGATCCCGCAAGTTAGTGTGGAATGAATTTGGGTTAGGACTGGCTGGGACTTACCAGAAGTTATGAGGTAGAACTATCAATTTTGCGAATCAAATGTCTCAGTTGAATCGGTGTCTTCTAGAACCATTCGAATTGAGTGGCTCTAGCCTCTAAAGACCAACCCATAATTTTTTTTTTTTGAGATGGAAATTTAATAGGAAGAAAGGGAACGAAAGGAAATGAAATGGATTTTTTTAATTTCTATTTGTCATTGGATGAAGGAAAATGGGATCCAAAAAAAAATAGAGTTAAATTATAAGTTTATCTTTTTATTCTAACAATGGTTGATTATATTTAGAATAACTTTTTATACTCCCTCCATCACAAATTAATTTTCTACTTTCTTTTTTCTGAAAAATTTTTGCGGCTCGTCTTTTTTCTTATCTGCATCATTTTTATTCATACAATTTCATTTTTCTTAACTATGTGTAAAGTCAAACTTTGAGTATTAATTTGAGACGTGTGCAGCATAAATTAAAATAAAAATAGTTCGAATTAAGGAGTTGGAGCATTGTTTTAAATTATTAATGGTTGATCTTATTTTCTTTGGCTCATTGTTGATAGTAGAAATTTATGTACTTTTTGTGACCAAAAATATTCAGAAAATTTGCAATTCTCTATAAAAGCTATACTGTGGTGCACAGGCTCAGTGAATAATGAGGAATATTTGACTATTGGGCCATCTAAACCCATAAACCCGAACACTACATCCATATATAACCAAGTCTTTGGTCCATTCAGCCACAACCTTCGAGCCCATTTCGTGTTCGTGAATGCTTTTCTCGTTAGAGATTCCGGGCAAAAGTGGCCCTAAATCTCTTCACAGCAATCTGATCCGCTCTAAACTAATTAAAATAAGTTCTAATCTGATCCATTTTTATTGTAATTGTATTTAAAGTTGTTTATAATTTAATCTAATCTAATTATAAAAAATAATAAGAATAAATTGAAGAAAACAAACCCTACTTCCTTGGTTGTATTGTATCAGACCCGTAGAGTCATTCGTATAATCAGTCATTATCTAATAATACTTGTTGCTAATGAGGATATATGGCAGATCATATAGAATAATGTGTCATAAAGGGAAAAAAATGTATTTGGTCCTATTTAGAGAAATGTACTACTCCCTCCGTCCTAAAATTAATTTCCCAGTTTGACTTTTGCAGTCAAACTTTTTAAACTTTGACCGTAAATTAAGAAAATAATACATTAAATTTTCATATAAATTTATTAGGATTAGATTAATTTTGGAATATAGTTTTGAAATATATAATTTTTATAAAATATATTTATATAAAAATTGAGATATTGATGGTCAAAGTGTCGCATTAGAGACCGTGAAAAGTCAAATGAGAAGTTAATTTTAGGACGGAGGGAGTACCTTTTAATTTTATATATATGGAGCAAATTTTTCTTTTTTCAACTCCTATTTTTGTTATTTAGACGTCTCTTATTCAATTATTCCTATCTTATTTTGTCTTAAAAAGCATTCTTAATTTTCGTGCTCTACAATTCTAGATAATATATAGAACAAAGCATGAATTTAATTTGAGGACTGCATCATAAAAATAAAATTGATAATTTATTTGGGGAAGTGATGAAAGTATACGTGTAATGATATTCATTTATAGTCAATGTTACTCATGGAAATTAAATAATAAAAGAGGTTTGAGGGGAATAAAGTTGGCTAGTAGAGTCACACTACAAATATCCCAAGTTTGAAAGTATAGATACAGACGATTGTCTTTTGTACTGTCAATCTCAGAATTACAGTAAAAAGTTTCCAGCTAGTAAGGCAAGTTCTTAGAGCTTGAAGTAATGACCAATGCCTTAACCATGGAAGACTCTCGAGGTGAGCCATTGGCTCGGTGAGTGATTGTTTCCATGTTCCTATACAAGCTCTGTTTCACAAAATTCTTCATCAATCTCTTTCCCTCGTCACATTTCATTCTACGAAACGGCGACTTGTTCGACCCGCTCCTTATCTGAGGCCCAGAGTGGGTTCCCATGTTTCTCTTGTTTTCATCCTTGAACCACTCCAACAATTTCAATGCCCTTTTCCCAGCCAAAGCACTTCCCAACAAGGCTACTTCAACAAGAACCGGAACAACTCCACCTTTCGCCATCCTCTCTCTCTGCACCGGGCTCCGATGGGCTAAGACCATCAGGATGTACACCGACAACTCCTGGCATTTCGGGCCACCATCATCCGCGGTCGCGGTCTCAATGAAGCATTCGGGCACCATTGGATGTTCTTCAAGAGCCCTCTTTCCTTTTTGGGTAACAACCATGTTTCCTAATATTGCTAGGGCCTTCTCTAATGATTCTTCTGATGAGAGTAGCCTTAACACTACATTGATCACTCCACTTGAAACTAAAATTTCTAAATTTTCAAGAACTAGAGACAGATTGTACAATGTGCATAAGCATAAATTTATGATTTTATTATTATTGATAAAATTATTATTATTATTATTATTATTATTATTATTATTATTATTATTGCATGAATAAAGAATGTTGATAATGAATGGTATGATTCTTGATGATTTTATGATTGGAGATTGGAAGCTGGCTATGTGTGATACAGATAGAAGAAGTTGTAAAGATTCTTGAATTGGTTTTCGGTCTCCTGCAATGTCTGTATTTTGGGACAGTTTTGATAAAATTCTTGATTCAACCATTAGAGCCTTGTTCCTGAAAATGTAAAGCATGAATATAACAATTAATTATAGAAGTAGAAGCCTATATAAAATTGAAGTCAATTGCATATACTCTCTCCGTCTCACAAAACATTTCTTGTTTTGATTTTTAAGGGATTTAAGAGGAGTCTGTTTGATGTTGACTTACCAAAAGTGCCCTTGGATATGATAGCTAAAAGTAGATGTGATGAGTAGATTAGTACTGAAAAAGTGTGATGTAATAGGTATGTTAAGAATTAGTAGGGATAAAAGTAATTTTTTGATAGAATTAAGAAAATTTTTTGGGACGGGTGAAAAAAGAAAGGAGAAAATTTTGTTGGCCGGGCAGAGGGAGTAGAAAATACTTCCCCTACATACTACACCAAATTGGCAAATTATTTTGATCACAGTGACTTTATGGAGATTTTAAAAAGTGAGATGGTAGAATTTATTCAAAAAAAAACAATTTTGTACCATATATCATTTTCTAAATTGAGGAAAAAATGAGGAAATTAAATATTTTTTAGGAGGGAAGAAGTATTATATTATACTTGTATTTGGTTAAGATAATATTTGTATTATGGGCATGTTTGTGAATAACATTAGATATTAGCATTAGCATTTTGGATAAAATTTTAACGTTGTAGATTGTTTTGAAAATGCTAACGCTAAACACTGTCTGTAGATAGTCTTTTTCAAAACGCTATATTCTCAAACAGGTCCTATAATTGATTCGTTTTATTTATTTGGTAGTTTCTATTGCTCCGTATTCAGTAACTTACCAAAGTCTATCAGGATTAGTTACATTCGCATACATTTGTTTGTAATCTTTGTTTGACCAACGTATGCCTTGTTTGGACATATAGTATTAACTTTTATTAACATCAACATTTTAGATAACTTTGTATTATTAGAGATTAATTTTGAAAATACTAAACTTAAAACATTATTATTATAAAGTCTTTTCAAAATGCTAAAATTAACTTTATTATTATTATATAGTTTTTTCAAAATGCTAAAATTAAATATTAAAGTTATTTTCAAATAAATTCATAATTACAACTTTACAAAAGAATAAAGGAAAAACGTTGGGGTTCTAGTGACACCCAACTTTGGTGACACTAGCGGTGCAACTGTAATTTTGGGGTACTTCCTAAAATAGCCACACATTTTGTCACTGCATTGCATAATAGCTAGTTAGCAACACATTTTGTGGGAGGGCTTACGGCGGGGGTTAAAATGGGGGTGCAGGGGTGGGGGTAGGGTATATTAGGGGATGAGAAACCGTTAATTTAACAAATGGAGCACTTAAAGTGCCCCAAAATGATAATGGCATCGGAGTGTCACCGTATTCCGGTGTCACTAGAACCCCACATAGTTCTAGCATTATGGATAAGAAGAATTTACTTAAATAACACTAAACATAATGACTTTTCCTAAATAGCACTACATGTGTTTTTCTTCTCAATGTAGCACTTTTAGTCATTATGCATTAGTCATTATTCAAACAAATATTTGTCATCACTGGACATTATGGACATTATTAAGTTCTATTTAGAGAGTAAAACAGTTTCAGTGCTGTTTAGGGAAATGACTTAACTTTTAGTACTATTTAATGTAAATATTTCTTATGGATAATGTAGTGGACCCTAGACATTATGTAGGATATAATTCAACAAAACAAATCTTTGTGTCATCATTATATTCAACTCTCCATGCTTCATTTCAGCATTGCCCATAGCCCCCATTGTGGACACTCAATCCATTTTATGGCTTCCCATTTACAATAAATCAAAATTTAAGATTATTCTCCCCTCACCAGTCACCTCTCACCCCACATTATGGCTTTCACATTTAATTAATATTTAAAGGGGGATGAATTCATTAATTGTCAAATGAATGATTCACTCATAGTCTTAATTTTTTTTATTCATATGTCAAATTATTTAAAAGGGGGATTAACAAATTAAAAGGGCATTGTTGGGTGACAATACTTTACTTTTATGTGCGTAGGGACATGGAAATACATAGAACATTGCACTATGTTTGAAAAGACTCAATTATTTGTTCTATTTCGTGCAAAATGACATCACTTTTAAAATGATTTTATTTATAGATTAGTCTGGAAAAAAATATAACTTGCATATTACAGAGTATAAAACTATATCAAATTTTTAACATATCATGTGGCGACATGTCTATTTTACTTTAGTACAAAGTAACAATTAAGTAATTATGAAAAAGGAAAAACTTAAGTCTAGTATACCCGAGGCTGATGTACACCATGTGTACACCTACCTTGTCACAGACATACGCAGACATCAACACAAACAATTGGTGTTTATGTGTGTTTGACAAAACTAATGCACACATGGTGTACACCAGTAGGGGTACACCTAGTAAACCCTTTACAAAAATGATTGGAGTACACCATTTTGTATCACACTTTAGAGGCCACTTTTGTTTACACCATATACTACTTTCATGCATGATTATTTGTTCATTTTTTACACTTTTCATTCAAAACTGATAAATTTTAAATTGATATGAAATATTGATACACAAAATAATTTTATTGAGTTTATTTTATAAAATATTTTTAAAATATTATTTTATCTAATTTATATATCATATTATAAAGTTTGTGACAATTTTATTTCTGAGCCTAACATTTCTGATGATCTACCCCTAACATTAGTTGAGTAATTAACTTACGTGGGAGAGGCATGAGCAAGGTGGATTAAGGCTTGAACGGCCAACCTCCGGCGGGCCACCAGTTCACAGCCAGCCATATCCACCAGCGGCGGAATAACGCCCAGCTCCGCCATGAATCTCTGCCGCCGCCACAGGTCATCTCCGGCGGCCAGCAGCCTCTTAATCTCTGCCGCCGCTTCCTCTTTCTCTTCCCACCTCCCAAAGTGCAGTTTCTTGACGGAGCTCCTCAGAGCCGCGCAGTAATAGTTATAGCTGCCGCCATAGCCTTGATCATCATCACCATGCTCTTTCCCCATTTTACCCCGGCCTCGAATCAAGTCTTTTAAGAATACTCTGAAGTCTGAATTAATTTATGCATGGTGGGGATTGAAGAAAGCCAATTCCAAGCCAATTCAAAACATTGGTTCTCCTTAACCCCTTGTAAATCCCCATCCCTCTCCGACCTGAACATCCTTACCCCTTTCAATTGCTCCCCCAAGTTGATTTTGATTTTAAAATCAAATGTCATGGAAATCCCACTATATATATATATATATATATATATATATATATATTCTGTTGTATATTCTATTATTTCTTGAGTAACACAATTATTCCAATATTATTTTATCATATTTTTGTGGGTCATTTGTACATATAACCATGAGATATACCTTTTAAATTTAATGGAAAGAAACCTAATTTGGCGAGTCATACCCCACTCATACATACACGACACGACGAGCTCAGCTCGGACAGCAAAGGGCCAAAGCACTTCAATTTCACCACGTTTCTCTCCAGGATAAAGTTATTTCTACCCAAGATTTTGTACACCGCAAGTTTGCACCGACATTTTGTTTTGGTGTAAAACTATTTTTGTTAACACACCAACACTTTGTGTCCGTGTAAATTTTTATTAACACATCAACATTTGTATCTGCAAACTATCAAAATATTTGTATATAACTGCACAAATAGAATACAATTTTTAGTGTAACAGCGACAAATCACAAAAGCCAGCCGTGCTTTCCGTACCAGATGTCGTACTAATGACAATTCTAGCACCAATTTAATTTGTCTCGCACGAAAAGCACTAACAATGAAAAGCTAGCTCATTGTCCAATAATGGAACGACGTTTAAAAATAATTCATGAATTATTTTTTGTAAGGACTACTAATTCCATGTTTTAATGGGTTGCTGATAAATATTTGACATTTGATTTTGATTAAAATAAAAAAATAACTCATCCAAGTCAATTTTAGTAAGCATAAGTTCAATACGGGGTATAAACTTTGTGAAATTAAATTTTGTCCTGTGAAAAAGTTGAGGCAAAAATCAAATATACGTAGAAGGAAATTAAGTGGAAACGGGCCGATTCTGTTCTAGTTTTGAAGTATTCGATTCCCCGTTCCCATAATGTAAAAACTTTTTTTTTGAATCAGTTGTTATTTTTGAAAAAATAAAGTTATAAAATAAATACAATTAGGTGTTGAATTAAATGAAAATAACGCTACAATTAAAGGCATGTTTGATCTACATGGTTACACTTTACAACACACACACACACACACACATATATATATTGACTACAAGGATGAAAAATACAATGCCTCAGCAGCACACACAACAAACAGCCTACAAATCATTAATATATAATTACAAAGAACTGATTTTCGCCATTGATGTCACACCGTGCACGAATAAGACTTACGTGTCGCTCCAACCATCATCTTCCCTGTCACTTCCAACAGCCTGTGTAGACAACAATCGACCATTAAAGGAGCAGTAGAAAAGGTTGTGTGCCCTAACCCCTTATGTTGTAGGAAAGTGAGAGACGTGTGTGTGTGTGTGCGCGCACGTTTGTGTGTGTGTCTGGGTGTGTATGCGCGCTTGGAATGTGAGAAAAGTGTTACCTGACGGATTGCATTTGCCTTCTCTAGAATTGCATTCACACTTGGTGGCAGCCCAGTTGTATGGTTTGGTCTTTTTGTAAAGGCTGGCCTGAGACTAAATGACTGAAATCAATGCAACACATGTAGAAAAACAAAAGATCAGTGATTCTTCAAATTGCATTCGAAGTCATTCACGTAGTGCGCAACTTTTACATGCCCAAAAAGCATGGTGAGCTCTACAGAGAGTGCTCCATATTCCTTAACATCCATTTTTGTATTTATGGAAATATTTTGACATGAATTTGACACAAATATGGTGAAATGAAAGCTTTATTTCTTGAAAAGAGAATATCACTTGAAGCTTTGTCNACACTTAAAGATAAGCAAGTCTCTGTGAAATATAGTCACTGGTTTTTGTAATTATTTTAAGAGAAATTATTTTTGTAACTGATTTAAAGATTATGATAGTCACGTGACAAAGTCACTTTCACCAAGGGCATAACGAAAATAAAAGAGAGCAGGTCAATAGGAATTCAATTTTTATAACAGCGTATTAGCATTTTGCTTAAAAGATTATGATAATCAGAATCTAATTTATGTATTCCAAACATAACTTAAAAATCTCAGAAGTCAAAATCTATAAGAAACACCCTCATAGTGGATGGTTAAGTAATTCGACCGTGATGAAGGCTAGAACATGGATGAATTCATAGATGAGGCCGAGCTCCTAGATGAACACTTGCCTCTTATATGAGGCTATTAATTAGGTTGAGCCAATCATGTTGTAATAGCTCATGAATTCTTGGATGAAGGAGTCAAGTTCATGGACCCAGATGAGACCAAGCTCATAGGTTAGGCCAGGTCCAATCATGATGCCTAATCCAGGTGCATTGTACAATAGAATATTCATCCATTACTATTAGTATTATTATTATTTAGTTTTCAGGTTGTTGGTAGCTTCCATATGGTAGTTCTTATCTAGCAGGGACATACTAGGTGCCGAATAAGTAGAAAATGAGTATACTATCGAAGATGAGTATATGACTGCTCACCTTTGCTCTGATCTGGTGCAGGAAGTCACCCTTCTCTTCTATTTCCTTGCAACTTGCAGCCTGGTCAACTACTTTCTGCTCACCTATCTGTTGCATGTCCAACCCCTGCATCCATAAAACACAGGTCACATGTATGATTCTTACTAATACAGCAACGACTGCAACGTGCTATTTTGGTTGTAGTAATGCTTTTAAATCAAAGAAAATCGATTTAAAACAACCTTGCCATTCAATACAAATGCAGGCTCCATAACTATATCTTGATTTAGCGGGTCATTCCAAAGTTTCTTATCAGCTGTGTAAGTATGACCTTTCATTAAACTATCCTTCTTGTCAGCTATCACGTCTGACAGTGATTTCATCGCGTGACAATTATGAGGTGGGAAGAACGGATGTGGTGGTATAAGCTCTTTTGGGGATTGTCCTTCTACACAAGCAGTTGCAGTGGAACAATTCCCCGATTCTTGCAACAATGCAGGTCTAAGTGTATCCAGAACAGGGAGATCAGAGAAATAACCAGAAGTAGGTTGTTCGAAACAGTGTTCAGGATAAAGAATTAGACCTTCACCACTATCATGATGTAGTTCCTCCTGGGTTGTCAGCCTATTTTCAAATGATGTTGAAGTAAACTCCGTCAATGAGATTCTACGTAAAGCATTATATACTTCATGGTCCTTTATACTGGAAGATTCACCAGACTCCCATTGATCAGAGTTAGATTCCGACTGATGACTGAGACAATCATCCGACATACACGGAGATGATCTGCAAAATGTGTCATCATCTGAGTCTGAACTAATGTCATGAAATGATATAGCAGCCTCAGGTACCAGCTGGAATGAAGGAAACATTTCACCACCTGTGCCCCTATTGGGAAATCTGAGTTTCAGCTTATGAGTCTGAGGTCCATCAATAGGCTGGAAAGATATTTTCATATGGCCAAGTGGTGGTGACCAAGAGGGAGACATCATTGGAGATCCACTTCCAGAAATATTTGTAGTCCTCTCGGAAAATGTTTTAGCAGTAAAATCTTCATAGTAATCTTTCTGCTCTGAAAGCTTGGAGGTCATGGAGCTGGCAAAACTGTTATCTGAACTAAGTGATGATGTTTTAAAGTGAAACCCATATGCAAGCAACCTATTTCCAAGTGAAAGTATCCTAGAGGAATTATTGGCATTCTCGTGACCCATGCTAACACGTTCTAAATTTGTAGCAACAGGTAGCAGGGTTCTGGATGTCACTGTATCAGATTCATTAAAACCGCTACCCATTGGACTATTTATATGGTTCTGATAACTTGAATGATTAGATTTCTCCATTTTGGCATCCAAACCAACTGATGAAAAACTTAAAAATCTGTTGCCCACTGAGACATCATCGCTGTGGTCATCACAAAACTTCATAGATTGTTGACTTTCTTCAATTTGTTTGGAGCCATTCTCTTTCAAACATGGTGTTCTGACATTCATTTCCCCCGTAGGGCAATTATTTTGTTCTGGAGTGCTAAATGCATCATCTTGAGTGCCCATAAGAACTCCAGTAACAGCTTTGAGAACACTGTCAGGAGGTTTTGCAGGCTGGAGACCAAGCAAGTAACCATTTGTCCAGAACTTGTCCGACATAACACTAGAAGGTTCAGTGAGTGGTTTTGAAGGCTCAGAAGAGCATGCAACCATATTGGTTATCCCCAAGCCATTCTCCCTAGAAGCTGAGGATAACTTGGAAATTGATTCTAAGTCTGAAGCAACCAGGGCATCGCCATTTTCATTTAAAATATCACGCTTAAGACCGGGATCTGAAGTTATGTCAGATACTTGTGGAGACTCTAAGCAAGTGTTACATTCTAAGGCATTTGCATGGAAAGTATCATCATGGGTCAACTTTTCCGAGGAAAAGCAAGCTGTAGAATCATATTCAGTGGGCACTGCATAAGAATAATCCCCACAAGTAACCTTCCCTTCAGCACTTTCACCAGCTTCAGAAGTGGAATTAGGTGAGATGTTGTCAGCATAGCTAGTTATGGTTCCAGGCGTAGCATCCTCGGCTACTTCAGCATCCAAACAAGAGTCTTGGTCGACCAGCTTCTTTATTTGATGGTCTAGATCATTTTCTGACTCAGAATCAATAGTGTTAAGTGCATCCTCAAAATCATCTGCTTCACTCTCAAGTTCATCAAACACGATGTCACCATAGTTGGGCATATGTGTTTTTCCATTTTCCAATGGCAAATCTATTTGCTCATTGGTACCTAAAGTTACAGCAGCTGTAGTATGAGCATCTGCACTTACATTTGCCGAATATGTTTCTAAATTTTCATCATCATTGCACATTGGATGTATAATATGCAATGAATCCATCTTTCTATCCAGAGTACTACAACATGGAGTGGAAAAACTTTGGTTTTGAAAGATATCACTTACAATTTCATCAGATACAACCCAATCCTTTTCATACATGGAAGCAGAATCAATAGAACCTTTATGATCCATTTTCTCCAACAGAGAATCTATTTGCTGAACAGTGTCAAGACCAACATCAGCGGCTATCTGAGCATCTTCAGCTACATTTGCAGCATGTGTTTCTAAAATTTCATCACCATCATTCCACTTGTGTAAAGCAGTTTCCGATGAGTCCATCTTTCTATCTAAAGTACTGCAAGAAGAACTAGGACAGATGTGTTTCATAAGTAGGTCACTACCAGTTTCATCAGACACTGCGTAAAGACTTTGCTCAGCACTGTCATGAGTAACATCAGCAGCTATCTGAGCCTCTGCACCTACATTTGCAGCATATGCTTCTGAAATTTCATCACCATCATTGTAATTGTGTGAAATATTTTCTGACATGTCCATTTTTCTATCTAAAGTATTGCAAGATGAACTTGGACAAATTTGTTTCATAGAGAGATCACTTCCAGTTTCATCAGGTACAACCCAAACTTTTTGCTCAACAGTGTCATGAGTAACAACAGCAGTTATCTGAGTATCTACACCTACAGTTGCAGCATGTGTTTCTAAAAATCCATCACTATCATTACAATCGTGTAAAGTAGTTTCTGGTGTGTCCATCTTTCTATCTAAAGTACTGCATGATTGACTTGGACAAATTTGTTTCATAGAGAGATCACTTCCAGTTTCATCAGATACAACCCGAACATTTTCATCTGCGGAAGCAAGAGCAGTATCCTGACTCTTCTGTGATAGATAATATTTGGATTCTATGGGTGTTAGCTCTGAAGGTCTTGCACTGTTCTTCAGAGTAACAGAATACAAAATGTAGTCATTATGTTCTGAAAAGTCATTCCTACTATCATCACACATAACAACATAGTTTTCATCAGGAATAGGGTAATCAATGGAGCCATTGGAATCTATCTGTGATGGAATGGGGAATGACAATCTAAGCACATCCTCTTCAGGTTGTCTCTTTCCATTCCATGCCACAACATCGTGTTCCTCTGAATATCCAATATTAATATCATCACGTACATCACCTGCTACTTCATCAACACAAACGAGATCAAGGGAGCCATTAGAGTATGCACGTAATGAAGTAGAGGATGACTGTCTAGAATTATCCTCTTCAACCCGCCTCAGCTTTTCCATTGAGCCATGATACAGTATATGGCTGGTTTGCACTTCTAACAAGCTAATACCGACACACTTATCATCCCTTTTCTCATCAGAAAAGCGGAAATCTGATGAACTGTCACGATCGCTCTTCAATGGAGATGCTATCTCCTTAGTTTTGTCTTCATTGGGGAGCATCTGGGAGAGTAGGCAGGAAAAACCGTCTGCACTGGCAGATGCATAAACAGAATCAAAAGATTGTGTGTGCAATGACTCCTCTTCAGCTTGTCTCTTTCCATCCCATGTAACAGCATTGTGTTCCTCTGAATAGCCATCACTAATATCACCATATGCATCGCCACCTTTTTCATCAGGATGAACAGAATCAAGGGAACCGTTTGTGTACATATGTGATGCAGTTGAGGATGACTGTCTCGACTTATCCTCTTCTGGTCGTCTCAGCTCTTTCCTTGTGTCAAGAGATGATATATGACCAGCATTCTCTTTTGACAAACAAATACCGACACAATCATCCCCTCTTTTCTCACCAGAAAAGCGGCAACCTGATGAGTCATCATGGTTACTTTTTACTGGAGATGATATCTCCCTAGCTTTGTCTTCCTCAGGTTTCATCAGAGAGCTTGGGCAAGGACCACCTTCTTCTACACATGCAGAAACATATTTAGAATTAAAATGATGTGACAGCTCCCAAAAGTTAGATTTTGCCGTGGCTTCACCTTGAGTTGATATAATCTGGGGAGGGGAAGTTTGTCCATCAATCCTTCGCGATTCCATTCTGCAAATTACAAGAAACATCAACATTGTTGTCTCTCTATAACTAGAGACTCATCCAAATAAATTAATGAAGCAAGAAGTTATAGTAACAACAGCAAGATGAATAATACCTGAACCTCCCTATAAATATTTTGATGTCAGAAAATATGCATATCAAATACCTGCTACTATAATTGGGGAATGATGATGCACCATGTGATAATTCTCTGTTCTTCTGCCGCGATCTTTTTTTCTGATCAATGTCAACATACATTAAGACCTTGAAATCATAAATATTTCCTTACCCGAGTAAAAAATCCATGTTTAATTCATGTTATAAAGTGTAGTGGCATTAAACTAGAGAAATCTGCTTGTTCTTATTAAGTTGACTAAACAATCAGATATTTCTTATTATAAACTGCATTTAATATATGCTCCCTCAGTTTATTTTTAACCCATTTTGGTTCACGATGTTTGACTACAGTTATTATCGATTTAGTTTATATGAAGATTGGTGTAAAAGTAAATAATAAAAATTACTCCGTATATACATAAAATCTATATCAAAATTATCCTCACATCAGTTGAATAATATTTTTCTATTTAAAAAAAACTATATCAAAAGTTCTACAGAACAAGAGATGACATGACTACTATTTTATTAGTAAGGAAAATAGAAAAAGAAAGAGGATAAAGTTTGACCACATGAACAGTGAATGAATCAAGTAAAAAGAAACTGAGGGAGTACTTCACATTGATGGGGATGTCACTGAGCAAATATAACGAGGTACTTTCCTTGATGTAAATTTATTTGAATTTATCGGCTCATTCTACTATTTTAAAGATTCATATATTATAGAGAGGATCAAATTGTTCATATCCGACGATCACATCTCTAAAGGGGATCCCAATAAGAACATTCAGAACTTCCTACAGAATAATAGAACATTAGAACATCACAAATATCTCTAACGCATGTTACGTTAACATGTTAAATTTTTTAAGCTGTTAAAAGGTTACTTGAGAATACACCAAGGCGTACCTTAATTTTTCGGCCTTTCTTATCTTTTAGGACTTTCCCAAGATATGCTTCGTCACACCCAGCTGAAGCTCTCTTAAAGAAAGTTGGATCAGAATATCTTTTCAAGCAAGACCCAGGACCACCAGGGTCAAATCTGAAAGAAAAATATATAGTATATAAACAGAAAGTAGTAATGACTAATGAGTAGCCATTGAGCACAAAAGAAGGAAACTCATATTTTATGCGGAGTATAAACTTCTATCATACTTGTCTAATAGGTGCAAGCGTGGAGGCCCTCGACATTCTTCATAGGAATCCATGAGGAACCTAGGCAAGTCACTGTATATGAAATGGTTTTCTTCACGATGGCAACGAGTATGCCAATTGGAACCTGCAAACCAACTGCATTCTGTAAGGATTTTGAAAGGAAAAGAGACAGAAAAATGTACATGTCGTCAAAACTTTCTAGGGTCAAATTTGGAGCAGAATAAGCGAACAAGCTTCAGAATTTCAAGATTATTTTCTACTTGTTGGAAGATGTGTGAAAATTTAAGAAACATGATAGCTTAGAGAATTAAATCATTTTGCCCACACTGTCCAATATGGTTGGGTTGGGATGGATCACACACTCTTTTAATATGGTTGGGTTGGGATGGATAAAAATGTTTATACTGTACCAGTGGTGTAGGAAAGTATGTAGGTGTGGATTAATGAGTTTGCATGGGAAATGTGGATAAATAAAAATTTTGGAAATGATTTCAGAAACTACTAAGACATGCAAATCCGTTAAGTCATTGAGTCTAATATAGTTTGCTAAAAACAGTAGGGGCTAGGGACTGTAAGTTTGTTTGTACACAATGATATGTGAAATCTGAACGTAACACGTTATTTGGGAAAATCTCAATGCACAGTGATAGGTGAACAAAAAGTAAAACAGTAGAAGGGTTGACCCTACCAGCTGTATATGCCAAATGCAAATGGCTTCGTTGTGCTAGTATGGATTTCTCAAGTGAAGGAAGTGCAATTTCAATCCGCTGAGCACGAGCTATCAGTTTACGGCTTCTAGAGGATGTGATCGTTACTTGCTCCTGTAAACCATGAAAAACCTCTGCTGCAAATCTAGAATTTGAGAAGGCACATGAAATCTACTTTTAGGATCGGTCACGACAACTCCGGCCAGCAATACACTCACAAATTAAACAATAGTGTACGTAAATTATCCCAATTGACAGTAAATGGCATCCCTAACACACACCTCACACCAACCCGAAATAGATATAAACTAATAAAATAAAAAAGAAAAATAATGTGCACGAATACCTCTCAAAATAAATGTGCTGGAAATGAAACTTGTAAGGACATTAGATCACCGGTGTTCTATAGAAATTCACTCTTATCACACACACTTAAGATTAAAATCCAAAGTAAAACCCATTCTTCAATTACAAATTCCAAACACCTGGAGGTCAGGTGGAATTTTGGGGTAGTAAATGCAAAGTAGAAAATCATATGTGGAGAAACTATCAAACTATACATGACCGTAAATGACTAGGTTTTGCCTTTAGTGTGGTGAGGGAAAGAAAGTGGTTGGAAAGAAGATCCCAAAATGGAAGCACAAGAATAGAAATAACACTTTTGAGTTTGGAAATTTCCAGGTTCTTTCAATTCTCTACCTACTGCGTGAAGTCATCATAACTTCCATTTGACATAACATTGCATTAATCACTTCCAACACGCAGTAAACCACTTCAGCTCTTCAATAATAGACCTCAACTTAGTAATTAAGCATATTCCGGAACAAATTCAACCAGCAAAAGAGGTCGAAATTCAGCCAAATTTCACTAAAATTTCAAGCAAAACGGAGAGATGGCAAGAGCAACGTACTCGACGAGATCACCGAGCTGGCGCAAGACGCCAACCAGTCCAGCCACCGCGACGCCTTCCAGCACCGCCTTGGGATCCTCATTGTCCGCCTCCCCGTACAGCTCCGCCGCCCCCAGGGCGTACTCGTTCCTCACACGGACTCTCACCAACGGCATCGCTCCGAGCAGGGAAATGAAAACTCTTCAAATGAATGTGTGGAGAGAGAAAGTAGGGATTGATAATGGAGCCGACGAAGAAGAAGAAGGAGTTGCCAACTCTTCAAGCCATTCTTCTTTCTCCAGGGAAGCTTTCTCTATGATTGCAGATTTCCAATCCAAAGGGAGAAGACACAGACAGAGGCAGAGGAAAAGACGAAGGTGCCCCTCTCGTTTGGAGAAAGTGACCCGTGAACGGAAGGATTAATTCGGTGAATATAATCACCGTCCCATTTTATTTTTTCGTAGGTGACATCATTTCTAACGGAAGTTAAAAAGTTTGAATTTTCATTTTTGACTCATCACCAAGTAATTAAAAATGTCACAATGCTGTAAATAATTCTCAAATGATGAACTCCACACAAACCATTACTACTGCTTTCATTTTGTTTGAGACTGAAAGACTTTTTTAGACAGTCGATAAAATAGAGACTTAAACAGCAAAGACTATGTATAAATACTCGACATGAGATGACACCGTTGGAAATAATTCAGCAGAGAGGGCTTGGTGGAAGGTGTGGAATGTTAAAACCTTACCGAAGGTGCGGAATATGATCTGGAGTGCAGTAAATAACATCCTCCCGTGCTTAAACAACCTTACAAAGAGGAGAGTGGTTGTCAATGAGAGATGGTACTGCACGTCTTTGTAACGTGTAACTATGCACGGCAAGCAGGTCTGTGGAGTATCAGTTTTGGGTTGGTATTCCCCTAGAGTGCAACCTTTCCCAAAATGAATGATGGCGATGCTTAATCTGTTCAATGCTCGGGATCAAGCTCTAGTCTTTTGTATTCTTGGGACGATGTGATTGGCTCATAAAATGAGAGTCTAGAGAGGTGAAGCGGTCTCCCCCTATATAGTATGGACGTCCGCTCAAAAGACTTCTGAGGATTGGTGGACATGCATGTTGTCATTCTCTATGGCTACGACACAAGAGAAGTGGGAGAAACATCTCATCAATTTTCTTAAGGTCAACGTAGATGCTTCAATTAGGTTAATGTGTGGTGGGTCATGTTGGTTTAGGCTTCATTTCTCGATACCATGAAGGCATCTCTCTAGCAACAAAAAAATATCAAATGTAGGGAAATGTTTAATTTTGGTAAAGAAAAAAGTGAAAGATGAAGTGTTTTGCGAGTACAAGATTATCAATATATAGGAACACAGATATTAGAAACTCTACAAGGAAAAGAGCTAGAAAAATTTACCTAAATAGGACTAAAACATAATGACTTTCCCAATATAGGATCATATGTTTTTATTTCCCAATGTAGGACCTTTGGTCATTATCAAGTAGTCATTATTCAACCAAATGTCCATCATTACTGGACATTATTCCTTCCACTAGGTCGTCATTATTAAGTCTTATTTAGGGAATAAAAAAGTTTAAGTCCTACATTAGAAAAGTCATTATGTTTTAGTCCTATTTAGTGCAAATTTTACAAAGAGCTATTATATGAAACATAATATGCAAAAAAAAGAAAAAATAACTACCATGTACAAAATAAATCAAAGTTGTGATGGATAGCCGGATCACTGAACAGGCCTTAGGCGGCCCAAGTACAACTCTGAGGCCCAGCATGAAAAAAGCCCAGTATTAGAGCGCGAAGGGAGATCGGAGCCCAAGGATCGGATGAAGTAACAGATCGAAGGCTAGCCCACAGCAATGGTTTAAGGTCAGTACGAAGGGAAGACGACGCGATTCCCTGGATCGGGGGATTGCATGGGAATTAATGACTGATTCTCCGCCACGATTGATGCATGCCGGACGAATTATCGATAATGTAGCGCATGAAATTGCATGTCTTGTAGTTGAATTGAGCTTATACAAACCTACACAAGTTCTACATATTTTATCGATAATGTTCTTATTCTTTTTTAAGGTCCTCGCACAACATAGTTATTGGACTAAATCTCATCAAGTTGAAATGAAAATATACCTTACATACATGCTTTTTTCATTCTTTACAAGATTTGTACCTGAATGAACAACAAAAAATGCCAATAAACGTACATACTCATATTATTAGTGTTATCCGAGGAAGCTAAGTATTTTCTTCATTGTCGAATAATGCCAATAAATCAGAAAAGATTACCTATGAGAGAATAAAGAGGCATTCTAGGGGTACACCAAAATGGGGTATCATATCCCATTTTTACACCAGACAAACACAGACAAACACAGATACTCATATTGTTCTATAATTTTCTTTTTGGAGGGCATATGCAAAATTTAAATAATTGGCTTTCTTTTTTTTCTTCGACATTAACACTATGTTTGTTTCAAAGATTTTGAAAGAAACAAGAAAAGAAAATGAGATGGAAAAAAGTTTTCTTGTTTGGTTAGAGAAAAAGAAAAATAGAAGGAATAGAAAATGAGAACACACAACGTACAAAGTAGGGGTGAGCAAGTACCGAACCGATACCGAAATTTCTCGAAAAAACCGAGAATACCGAACCGAAAAATACCGAACCGACAAAATATCGAGATGGAACCGAACCGTACCGAACCGAATTGTCGGTACGGTATTCGGGAATGGTACGAGGTGACGTCCCATACCGAAAAATCCCGTACCGAACATATATACTAAAATATTATAAAAAATAATACCCCGAAGTAATATTTTTATATTCCTTCACTAAATAATATTTTTTAAAAAAATTGGTTCAAGTTCTATGCTGTGTAAATTATACTTTTATTTGAGGTTTTAGTTTTTGTGTATGAACATAAAAGTATTCACAAAGATTCGAAATACTCCTTTGTTGTCATTCATTTTTTTAGTTTGTGAAATATAAACTAAGTTTTGATACACATTTCTTGCATTTAAATACTCATTTTTTTTAATTTTTCGGGGGTTTTTTTTAAATTCACTTTTAATTTTCAAAAATAAAGGAGTATTGTTAAATTTTAACGGGTAAAGTAGGTACGTATATTCATCCCGATTTGTACCGATGCCGAACCATCTCGAACCATACCGAACCGATATTTCGGGATCGGTACGGAGTAAAATCTCATACCGAACCGAAATAATTGGTACGGTATCGGTACGAGCTAAATACCGTACCATACCGTACCATGCTCACCCCTAGTACAAAGGAGGGAAAACAAAATTTTTCTCATTTTGGTGAAAAGAAGAGAGAAAAGTATTTTCTTCTTTTTTCATTTGAATTCCTTGAACCGAACATAGTGTAAAGATATACTCCGTAATTAAAAAGTCAAATTACAAAAATAAATTTTGTAAAAGTCAAAACACAATATAGTTACCAAAACATTGTTAAACCTGGTCGCTGCAATGAAAGACAAACATATAAAACACGAGACTTCTGCAAATATCGGACAAGAAATCTTACCCTTATAGTAACTCACTCAGATTATAGCTCAGTCCTTTTTTTTTTACTAAAACATTGAAAAATCTAAAAAAGAAAAAGAAAGTTATCTCTAATTTCATTCTTGGGTTGTACGGGGCACATAATGGGCTTCACTGGGAATCTCGCAAATTCTTTGCAGATTGGGCCTCCACACTGACTCTCTCCCCCGCCGACCGTCTCTCGGGGCCGGCGGCACCTTCTCCGGCGACATGATCTCATCACCGAAGTACTGAAAATTACCCGGCGACGAAACGGTGCCATTTTTCCCAGAAGCCCGGCACGAGGACGACCCCGTCCTCCCCCTCCTCTGCTTCGCCGGCGCCGGAATGAGGAAGTAAATCTTGCCGCGCCGGAGCAGGGCATCCGGCGGGACCACCACGATTTTGGGGCGGCGCGCGTCCGCCGCCCCTCCATTAAAATAGTGGTCCGGGGAGGGGGAAGACGGCTTCTTGAGCACGTGGGCGGGGTGCATTCTCATGATCTCCGCCGCCTTGACGCCGCCGCCGGAAATCTCCTCCACCCTGCCGTCGGCGTGGACTATTCTGATCACGTCGAGAGCCCCGCAGGGAAGAATGCAAGATATGCAACACCTCAACGCCTTTATCATTATTAGTATAATTAGTATAATTAAATTACCGAGTATTATTTTTGTATTTGTTAAATTTTTTAAATTAAATTAAATTTCTCTCGCAGGAAGTGGGAAAAATAAATGAAAGGAAGAATGCTTAATAGCAAGGGTTTTTCTGGGTAGTTATCACTTCATAATAATGGATATCACATCAGATTATACAAATAATTTGATGGGAAAATAACAAAAATGGAAATTGTATAAAATAATTGATACTCAGAATCTCCTGCTCCTTTATAAGTAAATCAATCAATTCATATATTATTGAACTCGAGTCTATCCGTTGCCAACTGCGCAACGCAAACCGATTATACTTCGTGTATGAAGTATGAACAGTGAACACACTACGTACTTCCTCTTTTCATTGTTTATATGATAAAATAAAATTTGTTATCGTCATTTATTTTTCATAATTTTCTACGTAACTTTTAAATGTGTAAATTTTATTTTTTATTTTTGTACCAATCTTTAAATAAAGGGAATTAGAAAAATTTGAAATTCCAATTTTTTAAATTTGTATAATAAGGTAATCTTTTTGGGACGAATGAAGTAAAATGAAAGTAAATTAAAGTAAACAAAAGTAAAGTAAAACAAGAGATAATTAATATAGAAATCATCCTAAACAAGACTAAAACATAGAAAAAAGTACCAAAATAGGACTTTCATGTTTTTTTCCCGGAATAGGACTTTGCATTGTGGTAATGTGACTCTGCATTGTGGTAATGTGGCAGTGTACATGTGCAAATTACTATACTTTCTTGGTAATGTATATGACCATGTTTGGTAATGTAAGTCTTATTTCGAGAATAAAAACATGGAAGTCCTATTTTAGTATATCTTCAATGTTTTAGTCATGCTTTGGTCTTTCTCCCTAATTAATAAGATCGAAATACAAATACAATAAATTATTTTTGCATATTTTTTAATTAACAAAAAAGAGTGAGAACAAATCACCGAGTAGATATTAGGGAGTAGTGAGTGCATCAACTCATATATTTAAATTCAATTATAATCTTTTAAACATTTACATTTTCTCAATTATTCCAATAATAATCTATTACAATCAATTTATCAGACAATTTTAATTTGATTAAAATTAATTAATTTTGATATATCTATTTTGATGAAATTGATCAATCAATCAATCAATATTTTTCCCCTTTTTCTTTTTTGTCATGTGTACTTTGGCTTTTGGATTGATCAGCATATATATATCATTCACATTAATTTGCTCCAAAATCAAGAGTACATTCAACAATGTGATTTGAGTACATGCACGTACCACTGCATGCTGGCAAATGCATTGCTCTTTCCCTAATTATAAGCAGTCCATATATTTAATTAATATTTTTTAAAAAGAATTTATATACTCAATATAATAATTACTACTTCCAGTCCAAAATTGTTTGTCATAAATTAACTTTTATCAAAACTATGATTACAGATTTAATATTACCTTTGTCTATTTTTCTAGTTTGACTTTTTTGAGTCAAATTAGACAAATTTTGAACCTCAACGAAATAAAAATGTTAATGAATATTAATATAAAAATGATTTAAATATATTCAACTCATTTATAGCTTTTGAAATTTTATTTCAATTTATTAATATGCAATACAAAATGAGAATAATTTATGATTAAAATGAATACGGAGGAAGTATTAATACTCATTCATCATTCCTTATTTAATTTATCATAAAAATATTAATTACTACTTACTCAAAAAAACTAACATATTTTTTCCTTAAAAAAAGAAAAGAAAAAAAATTTAAAAAAAACTAAAATGGGTGCAAGATTGCCACACTTGTGACTTGCAGATAAGGGTCTCGTGCTCTATCCACGCATGGAAATAGTGTTCTCCATGGTGATATGGCAGCGAGGCGTCAACAAGGCATAGTAGGTTATACGCTATTGCCCATGCTCTAACCATTTAATAAAATACTACGTAGTATAATCATGTCACCTCTTGTTCTGAAAAGACTTTGATTTAGTTTTTTGAATACATAAATTTTACTCCGTATTTTTTATTTCTATTCTAAATTTCATATAAATTAATTTAAAATAACTTTAGCCCGACATCGTAAACAATAATATGCAACATAAAATGGGACTGAGGGAATAAAATCCAAAAGTTCAAATCCTAAGATTGGGAGCATATGTATTTATTTTGTGTTAGATTTCAGTGTTAGATCAATTGTTAATGAATTTTGACAAACTAATTTCTCATCAACTTGTTAGGGAGGAGTTTCAAATTGTTTGTCCGCGTATATCACAAGGTTTTACAGGCCTCTTTGAACAAAAAATGAACGAAAAAGTTTTACAGACCTCTTTGAATAAAAAATGAACGAAAATTTAGAAATGAGTAACATTTTAAAATGGTACTCAATAACAATGTGTTTTTCGAATTAGTCCCCAAGTTAAATTAATTACCAAGATGATACTCGCTAATTAAAAATAATGCCGAGTTTAGTCCCTCCCACCCGACTAACGGTTATCAAAATAACATCAAAATGACATTAAAACTTATACTAATTTTTTAAATTAATCATATGTAATTGAATGTTTCTTCAAATTAGCCTATTTTCGATGTAAACACTCATTTAATATGAAAAACCAAAACAAGATTCTTCCCTTGTAATTGATTCACGGTGTTTAAGCGAAGTCGAGAGACAATTTTTTATGAAATTTTATTTCGAAAATTGACTAATTTGAAAAAAATGGTTATAAATGATCATTTAAAAAAAAGTATAAGTTTTAATGTCGTTTTGACTCCATTTTGATGACGGTTAGTCAAGGGACTAAACTAGGAATTAACTTCAATTAACGAATACTATCTCAGTAATTAGTTTATCTTAGAAACTAATTTGGAAAAATACATAGTTATTGAGTATCATTTTGTAAATTTATTCTTTAGAAATTATCTAAATATAAATGGGATTTCATTGAGCGTCTAATTTGAACAGTTGTTTGTTTGAGTATGATTTTGAAAATGATTATTTAGACCAAAGCAATTTGAAATGTTTGAAGCTAAAAAACATTTCTAAGATACTTTTAGATTCTTATCAATCAATATAATCACCTAGCATGGTCCAAAAAATATATTGAGAAAAAACTGTTAAGATTTCAACTACTCCATTCGTCCTAATTTAAATTGCATATTTATAAAGATAAATTTTATTGACTCATTTTCATGACTCATTTGAAAAAATAATATAGTCTTGTGACCTCATGTTATGTAAAACTTTTGATATTTTTTTTAAATATATAAATTTTACGGAATATTTTTTTATTTCTTAATAGTTTTCAAATAAATTGAATTGAAAATAACTTTGGTAAACCTTGTAAACAACAGGTGTCTCTTTTTGGGACCTAAGTAATACTCCCTCTGTTTCTTAAAACCCTTCATCTTTCATTTTTTTTTTGTTTTTTTTTAAAACACTTCCCTTTTCTATTAAAAAACAACTTTTACCCCTACTTTTTCATACCATACCTATCACATCATACTTTTTCACTAACAACTAAATTATCACATCTTACTTTTACCCATCACATCAAGGGCAAAATTGGAAAGTCAACTACAATTTAACACTTCCTTATTTTTCCCCTAAGTCAAAAGAGGAACCGTTTTGAAAAAACAGAGGGAGTACAAGACTGAACATTTTTAACTTCCAGAGCAACTTCACAAATAAGTAGAGCCATATATGCACACAAAGCACACAAGGAAAGCATATTAAATATATGTATGTCAGTAGTACAAATCTGCAGTGAGTAAAACTGCTTCTTCTTTTCTTCTTCTTTTTCTTCTCAGCTCAAAAATAAAAACTTACAATGAATAGTTGGGCATTCTCCCAATAAAACCCCCATGTTCTTGTTGTATCCTCACTAAAAAAAAGGATGAAGAGGAGAAACTCCAGGGGCAAAATGGAGAATGTTCGATATCACTTATATATATAGGGAGAGACTATACAGTGGCATATACGACGAAATGAGTATCTCGGGTCCCACAATATGTGTCACTGCATTTGTCACTCATATGTGATTGGTCGATTCCTAAACCAATCACAACGCATGGCACGCAGTGACACATATTATGGGATACCAAATCCGGGCTCATATTCTTGAAGAGAGCAAGAAACCTCTAAACTCTTTTCCGTTGAACAAGTTCCTGTTACGTTTATCACAAAAAAAAACAATCACACAAAGAAAAACACAATCAAATATATAGTAATGTGTTACTCTTATCTATAAATAAACATATACAAAAAAAAACAAGAAACTAATTGGATGAAGTTTGGGTCAACTAAGACAAATACCAGCAGTATAAATCTTAATTTTAAATAAAATAAAATAAAATAAAGGGTACCTCAGAATAGCGAGCATGATCATGATGTGAGTAAGAAGATTTCACAATGGTCTCCCACTTGGAAGCAGCACTCTTATGATCACCGCCCTTTGATCTTCGCCTCCTGTTCTGCGAAGGAGCAGAAGAAGGCAGCGCGCGCCACAGCCACGACTCCGAAGGAGTCTTGGGCAAGGGCGGAGGCAGAGGCGATTGGTCCCAAGTGGGACCCACCACACCAGCCGAACACGCGGTCTTCTCTTCCACGTCACTCTTCCTCCGCGCGGCAACCTCCCTTGGCACACCCAAGAACTTGGATCCCTCATTGAAAGGAGACCGGGGTGTCACATTGCGGTATGGGGAAATTGCGCCGCTTCTGGTGTGCCGGTTTGGGGACGAATCTCTAGAGTAGGACACCCTGGTTGACATCCTTCTGTCGCCGCCACCGCCACCGGATTTATACAGCTCTCCAGAATGGAATCTCTTATTGTACACTGCATCACACACTTGCTGCATACACACACACACACACATATGTACACATTATGTCAGTGATACCGTGTCAAAGAATCAACTCAATCAGAAGCTCATGTTTGTGGGGGAAGGCAAACAAGGAATAGTTTTTAATAGTCTAACTATGTGTAATGAGTAATGCAACAAAACAAGGGTTGATATGGTCCGGTTTCGGATTCCCCTGTTACAGTCTCATCCTTACCCGTTGTATATCCGAGCCACCCATCCCGATAAAATGGATGAAACCCCGAAAGAATATGGGTGATGCTTGGATAATGGATGGATATGGCAGTCACCCATCACCCGATCCACCCATCTATCCATATATTTGTGTTGAACTTTTAGTATCTATACCAATATACTACTCTGCAAATGTAAAGTAATGACAAGTAATTTAATGTACTATTATTGTCAAACAAATAGATACAGAGTATTTTATTAGAGGAATTTACTTAAATAGCACTAAATGTATTAGTCATTATTCAAGTAAATATTCGTCATCACTGGTCATTATGGACATTATTAAGTGCTACTTAGAGAATAAAACAATTTAAGTGCTATTTAAAGAAATGACTTAAGTTTTAGTGCTATTTAGTGTAAATATTTCATTTTATTATTAGTACTATGTTTTTCTTGATGATAATTCAAAGAAATGCTATTTGTAATCTTGACGATTCATGTATCGGATGATGATGAATCGGGTAACAAAAACGAGAGTGATTGGATGGATGAGGGCGAAGCTTCACCCGATCCAAACCCGACCCATAGCCATTCTTGATGACCATCCCTTCTACGAAAAGGCCCAAGTGCATAAGAGATCACATTCTGTACCTTGTCAAGAGGTCCGCTGTAAGCATTCCGGGCAGTGGGAAGGGGCCCGCTATGCGCAATCCTACTAAACCTCTTCATGTCTTTGGCTGGTGGCAGTGGAGGGGTACGAGCTGGAGTTTGGCTTCTCCTTTTTATCCCCGGCAACGGATTCAAAAGCCACAATGAGTTCTTCACACAAAGCCATGGGGAAATCTTCCATGATTTCCCCCATGACTTGTGTTTCTTGGGTGTAGTAGTAGTTGCAGTAGTCATAATATTGCTTTCATCTTCTTCAGTTTCACTTGCATTATCATAATCCTCTGTGTAGTGGCTATAACATGGTCCTATATTGGGAGGCTTTCTTTCTATTGGGACAGCCTTTGGCTCTTCTTCCTTCATTGAGAGTTCCTTTTTTAGGACATATTGAGGGTTGTCCAAAACCACGGCCTTTGCTGCGTGTAAGAACCGGTCGATCATGAAGTCTCGCGTCTGCAAGTCGACAGAGAATGTTCCGGAAGGTTTTTCGTCGGGACCACCTTGATATCCACTCACCCCACTCACGCTGCAGCTGAAGGACGAAGATTCCGGGGACGAAAATACCCCTGGGGAATCGGGAGGGGAATCCTTCCACCCGAGTTCGGGCTCGGATTCCCCTTTTGAATACATGCTGTCAACTAAGGCATCCAATAGGGCAGAATGGTCATGGTTCCAATTAGGAGACTCTGCTTGGTACCCGTGAAGGTTCTGCCCGCGCGGCCTTTCGCCCGAATAGAATCTTATAGAGTCTCGGGTGGTCCTGCCCGGGGGCAGCTTGGGGGTAGTTTCGGAAGGCTCTTCTTGTGCAAATATTTTCATTTGGTTCCCGGGTTTCAACTGACCCGGGGTCTGTTCCCAAACAAACGGGATTGCAACGGGTCGACTGGGTCGAGTCGACCCGTTGACGTCCCGTTTGGTTCTGGGGATGTGAGGACGATTTGGCAATGTCTTGCCTATCGTCTTCCGAACCACGTCTTCGGGCTGGGAAACAATGGAAGACATTCTCCTCACTGATATGAGTGGGGCATTGAAATTCAGTTGTTTCTTCTCCATTTCTGTTCAGCTTTTTATATGCCTTTTTCCTCTTATTTGCTTTTGGCAATTGAAAATCACATATGGTTTGTAGATAGAGTTAGCAAGTATTGCTGCAAACAACAAACACATGGATCAAATTACCAAAACTAGAAAAATAAAAGTTAAATATCAAATCAAAGGATAAATGTTAGGAAAATGTTAGAGTAACTTCAAGTGTCATCCCAAATTTAACCTCAACTTTCTCACAGACATTGAAGAATCATTAAATCTTAAGCTTACGCATAGACAAAATGCTGACTTTCTGAGGCAAACTTTTACTATGTGTAACTAGAAAAAAGGTAAATAAGTAGCCAAGAACAAATCTCAATGCTTGAGCAAGGCTAAATTGCAAGAATAATCAAACCCAAGTTTATTTTTGACGGATTATCACAAAAATTCCTTTTTTTAAACCAAAAATGATGAATGACAGGGGTAAAATAAATGGGAAATCAAGAAAACCCAAGAAATTAGCTTCCTAAAATGAACCCAACACCATGAATGTGAAACAACCAGGTAGTTCAACTAACAAAAAAACTTTGACAAGGTAGAGATTCAAAAAAAAAAAAAAAACGATTCAATCTTGAAATTGAATGAAGAACACAAAGAACAGACATACAAATCAAGAANAGAAGGGAATGGAAAGAGAGAGGGGAAAAAGGGTTTCTGATAGGTCAGTTGGTTTGGAGCAGACTGATGATTAAAAGTCGACGAGCGACTACAACAGTGGCGTGGCACGTAGAAGGGAAGTGGGACCCAAACCTGCACAAACTCGGACCCGGTGCCACTCTCATTTTAGGACATTGATGATTCCTGCTGTCCTTACCCACTCCTAAATCCCTCACCCTACCCCACTCCTGCACCCCAACCCACCGTAATCTCCTACAAAATGTGTGGCCATGATGCATTGCATAATAACCACACATTTTGTGATGTGTTAGGGGCTTACAACAGGGTTGGATAGTGTAGGGATAGTGTAGGATTTAGGGGGTGAGTTAGGGGGTAGGAATTGTTAATGATGATAGTGGCACCGCTAGCGTTACTAAATGTGAGTGTCACTAGAACCACACTACTTTATCAAAGATAAATATAAAGTGGAAGACGTTGTGGTCCAACAAGATTGCAAGGATTCTCCAAAATGATTGGTTATAATTTCAATAGCACTAGAGACAATATTAGCTCTTTATTTTTCAATAGTTTGAAACAATACATTTGAACTTTGAAGAGATATTCATTGTAATAGACTCAAATGATGTTTATATATATATATATATATATATATATAGGGGCTGATTCCCGTGAGAAAGCACCTTGTGGAGAGAAATGAGAATAAAATCTAGCCATCAGATCTGATGCATCGTGCGGCTCAGATTGCATCCTGCGCTCAAATTTTGAGATAGTACATTTTCGAAAGTTTGTGGTGCATTTCGACGTGATGCATTTTCAAACCATTTTGGTGCATCTAATTTTGATGAAATCTTGACCCTTAGATCTCACAATCTAAAGCACCAGATTCATTCTCATTTCTCTCCTAAGATTGCATTCTCACCAGAACCAAAATCTATATATATATATATATATATATATATATATATATATATATATATATATATATATATATATATATATATATATATATATATTCTCCCCGTCTCAAAATTTTTAATATATTACACAAAACGAAGCATAATTTCAAATTCTTTGAATTTGTTTTATTTAAAGATTTGTAAAAATTATAAAATTTATATATTTAAAAAGAAGAGTCCTTATTTTATTCGTAAGAGCTATTCCAATCTTTCTTTTTGCCTAGAGGGAGCATGCGTGATGCGTGTTACAATATATTTTGCTCTTATTCCAGATTGGCATAAACTATTTTTTTATTATTCATTTTCTTTAATTTGAAAAATATAAATTAATAAGTTACATAAATATTTTTGCATTTAATTACTCATTTCTTAGTTTTTTATGTTTCATTATTTTAACATATTTTCACCTTTACAAAATCAAAGAGTTATTGCATTTTAAAGTGTAAATTATGTATGTATCTTTTTATTTCGATTTGTATCGAGACCAGTACGAAATCATTTCAATCTATATCGAACCAAATTTTGATATCAGGATTCCTAAAATGTAAAATGTCATTTTAAACTAAATTATTTAAGTACGATATCGATATAGCTAAATTTTATAGTGGACCTAATGTCTACCATGGACCTACATATGAGCAAAATAAATACTCCAGGTACTTTTTTACTAATTAAATAAATATTTATTTTTTCAAATAAAAAAAACTTTTTATGAGAGAATGTCCACAAAATTGACATCCACTCAAGGTGCATCAAAGAAGCAGTCATCGATATGAACTTAATGACTTAATCTCATACCAAACCTATAATATTCTATCCAAAAAATACAAATGAATAAGATCGGATGAGATATTTGAACTTAAAATTAACTTTGGACAAGGAGAGGATGTCAAGCCTCTTGATACTATGCTCGAATCCCGGCAGTAGCAGTGTTAGAGTTCTATTATTTTTTGTAATAGCTCCTTGTCTGCAATGGGCATGAGACAACTTCTCTTAGGACCAAATTGAGATTATAACATGATTTTCCTTTCTTACAATCTTCTCGGTCCGGCCTGTGGGAGCGCCCAGAGTGAGCGTTCCACCTTTTAAAAAATTAATTTTGGACAAATCTAGTGGGACCCAACCCCATACCCCATGGGTCACGAACAATCCGTTGGTGATGGATTGAATATTGTTTTGGACCATGCTACACTTACGCCAAAAAACATACCTCATTTGTACACCACAGGTTTGCACAAACATTTCGATGGTTTACACCGACACAAGTGTTGGTGCGTTAATAAAAATTCACACGGACACAAATGTTGGTGCGTTTAACAAAAATTAGTTTTACATCAACATAAAATATTGGTGCAAAACTGCGGGGTACAAATTGGGGTACAAACTTTGGGGTACACATAGCATAATCCTATTGTTTTTTGTAAAGGTAAATACTCCGTACTAAATAGTGGTAAGCAAAGGGCCTCTTCAGTCTTCACTACGCGTCAATTTACAGTTTATAAAATGAAAAAAAAAAAGATACCATTATGAAATATGAATAGTCACATTACTCACATACTCGTATTCCGTAGGGAAATTCTTTTTGAATAAAAAATTAAAAATATACTAAAATAGGAGTTTCAATATTTTACTCTCAAAATAGAATTTAAAATATATTTACAGTGTTAATCATGTCCATACACATTACCAAAAAATATTATGAAAATGTTTATATACAACGTCACATTACCACAGTACAAAATTCTATTTAAGGTGTAAATGAAGTTCCTATATTAATATTTTATCTATGTTTGAGAAAAAAATTAAAACAGAAGTAAAATATTGAAAATATACCAAAATAGGAGTTCTATGTTTTTATCCTCGGGATATAAGTTAAAATGCATTTAATTAACAATCGGGTTGACCAATTCGACTAGTAAGGTCTTGACCCACTTTCTCGTCTAAGCCGATGTTTGGTCGAGTTTCCAAATATGATTATCACGTGAATGAAATTTACCGCTCTATGCATTTCGAATTTTGAATGTTTCAACATTTTAACAGCAAAATAAATTTGGTATTCGTTAAAGCAATGATTCCTCTATTTGTTCGGTCAATTTGATTTTTTCCGTGCTTTTCTACCCCATACGCTTTAAAATGATTTTACCTACGGGCTACTTTTTTTATGTTCAGTAAAATTTGAGTAAACAGATACCCCTCGTGCAAAAATAATTTACTATTCCCTCCATTCCACAAAACTCTTCCTCTTTCGTTATTTTTGCTTTCCACAAAACACTTCCACTTTCTATTAAAAAAGCACTTTTACCCCTACTTTTTCATACCCTACCTATCACATCATACTTTTTCACTAATAACTAAAATATCACATCATACTTTTTCTCATCACATCAGGAGCAAAATTGGAAAGTCAACGAAAATTTCACTTTCCTTATTTTTCCCCAAAGTCAAAAGCGGAAGAGTTTTGTGGAACGAATGGAGTACATACTTTTTAATTATTTCAGCATTATATTTCATGAAGTTCTGTTTGTTTAGATATTTTCATTGATAATTTGATAAATTAGAATATTTTTATCTTGTAGAATCTTTTATTTAATTTTTCAAAAAATAAATTTTATTTCTTATTTATATACCAATTTGTAAATAAAATAATTTTAAAAATCACAAAATTTTTGAAGTTGTTCGAATAGAGAAACACGGAGTATTATTTTAGGATGCAAGGAGTACTTCATAGTAAAACATTCATGTTTGAGAATAACTTTATAGGTTAACATTAGTGTTTTGAAAATGTTATCAACGGGTAGCGTTTAGCGCTAGCGTTTTCAAATTTAATTTGCACTGTTAAGATTTTATTCAAAATGCTAACGCTAATCGAAAACGTTATTCCCAAACGTACCCATTACATACATACTAATACTTCGTACTTGATAAATCAATAAATCTCACTATTCTTTGTCTATTTTTGTGGAGTACCCCTAAAATTTTAAGTCTTTTTCAATCTATTTTATTAAAAGATTAGTATAGAAATAAAAATAAAATTTATTAATTTAAAAAGTAAATCAAAAGTTCAACAAATATGAGGTGACAAGAATATTTTATTTTATCAAATAATCAATGAAAGTATGAAACACACAATGACACAAATGTATAAATTTTTCATAATTTTTGAATAATGAAGAGTGTAAATCATTGTGAAGGAGTATTTTTTAATTTTATAGAGTTTTTTGTGTAACTTTTCAAAATGTATATTAAATATTATTTATTATTTTATCTCTATATTTCAATAATTTGGTTTGAATGTAATTCTAGAGTTCTAATAGAACATCCTAAATCTTAAAAAAAACGAAAAGCGACCCTATTCTTTTGACAACAAGAATTGTTGTCATGGACCGTGCTACACACCCCCCACCCTTACTACCAACCTTGCTTCCACCCACTTCTCCACCAGATATTTATCTCTACCCATTCTCCACCCACCATCTAATTTTAATTTTCTTACCTCCCTACCACATGTTTATGTAGGGAGGCATGATTGATAGCAAAGGTGGGGGTTTTTAGCATTTTTTTTGCTGTCATATTCATTATGACAACATTGACTACGGTATTTCATTCAAAAAAATTATAGATACCTAAAATCCTGCTCCCCACCTCAGTGTTACTGTAGCCAAACGACATTTCGGGGAGGAGGTA